TGGGTGAAGATGGACCGATGTTTCGTCATGATCGATCGGTTCTCCGGATAATGGAGAAAATAAAATGTAAAAACACACAAAGCATATTTTCTGTTTCATGCATTCTTTATTATTCTCTTAACGATAATTTATTATATATTTTAACGATTTTTTGCTCAACATCTGTACACACGCGTACCCTCTTCGATATCCCCGATCGGCAGACGTCTTTCCGTCGTCGTCCGGCACACCGGGCAACTTCCCAGTCGGTAAGAGCATCTTTTGCAGGAAACGTAATGATAACAGGGCGTCGTCACCACCTCGGCAACTAGGAGAAAACACACCTTGCAGGCATCTCCCGAAGACGGTTCCTCTTTACGTTTTCCTAAAAGTTCGTCCACGATCAAGCTGTATTTCGTTTCGACTTCGACGAATTCTCCGACGTAGTTCGCGATGCGTTCGAAAGCATCGATCAGCCACTGTCCGCCGGTCCATTCGTCCGTACAGTAGTTGATCACTTTGACGCACGAACGGAAAAGTTTAATTATTTCAGCGAACAGAAACTCCATCTGTCTGATGTCGATATCCACCTCCTTCAACTTGTGAACGTCCATTCCGTTGGTCGATTCGCATTCCTTCCGTTTTCTTTTGACTTCACGAATCAGACGAAATGTGTATCTTAACCGATCCTTTACATCCTCCATGTTGCTGCACATAGTGATGTCGGCATCAATGTGGAATTGTTGGTTAAACGAAAATATTTATATATATATACACACCCACACACGCACACGCACCAACATATTCGAAGTTTGTTTCGTTTGTTTTATATTTATTCATTAAATATTTTTTTCAATGTTCCTTGTCCATCACGAGCTTGGCGAAAGAATCGATAAGACTTCTGAAAGCTTCGCGGTTTCGGTCGTCGTGCAGGCCGTTTACTATGTCGGCCACGCCCTGGCGCAGACGCATGTCCTTGACGTTCGCCTTCGTCGACCCGTAGCAAAGATGCGACGGTCGACAGCACCTGGAGTGTTCCTCCACGCACATCTCGCACTTCATCGGATCGTGCCGAACGACGTGACGTTCCATGTTCTTTCCGCGGTGAGAGAACAGTTCCGTCGACGTCAAGCCACCGTACTTCCATCCGGCAGTCGTCCTGTAGAAGGTCTTATTCGTCGAAAGCCAGCACCCGCTGACGGGAAACACCTTGCACGCCGTAAGTTTCGCCGTCATTTCCTTCAGCAGCTTCTCCGGTTGCCGTCCCGTTCTGATCGCGACCGTCGACACCGAAATCCTGTCCAGTACGGCGTCGTAGTACCGGTCGCCGAAATGAGCTCGGAGGGCGTAGTGCAACGACGCGTCGTAATCGACGGAGAAACAGGTCGGTACCGGCTCCGACGCGATGCTTGCCGACACCTCCATTTCCGAGCGAACGGCCTCTTCGCCCACGTACGCTATCGTCTTCGTGTCCAGGATGCGCCACGCGGTCCGGTTTCCGGACACCCGCCTGACGAGCGCGTGACATCCCATGGACACCGCGTTCGAAAAGGACACGTTGCACCGGACTCCCCTTCGTTCGTCTAGAACCACCGCCTTCGACGGCCATCTCATGTCGAGCGGGACGTCGTCCTCGGCGGTCGGAGCTTCCACCGCGTACACAGCCTCCACGGGCGCCTTCCTGCCCAACAAGCCCATCGGAGCGTCCTCGGACGAAACGTATCGCGTGTACAGGACCGGCGGAAGATCCGCGGGGTTCAAGTATTGCCGAGGAAGATCG